CAGAAATCAACAACACACCAATCTAAATAAATTGTTTCCCCTGTGTTAGTCAATTTGAAGTGAACAAAAAAGTGTTATGACTAAAATAAATAACATGGTGTTTGGCACTCATGCTGAGAAGTTGGACAGCAATGGCATTTGCAATGATATATTTTTGTACATAACTTTGTGTCCATGCAAGGAATAGCATGACATCGCAAATTACAACCAATAGTTGCTTATTCTTGGTTCAGGCCATGTCAAAGGTGACCCCTTACCTTGATAAAAATTGAAAATGGAAAGTGAATGCATTCGTACATAACTACTGGACACCAACAATTAACGCAATGTGAAGCGGACATTTATACCTCACCACCAGTTTGTACGGAAGCGTAGAAGGGCCAAAAGAAATTAAGAAAAAAAATAGCTCCCATCTCGCCGCGGCGAGTTACTATCTCGCCGCGGCGAGTTACTATGTCGCTGCGGCAAATTACTATTTTGTATCGGTGAGCGTCGGGCACAACAATGGCGATCCCTCCGGGTCCTATGGAACGCCAAAGAGGCATCGGCGTAGCCAGGGTTTTCATCCTAGGGGACTTGGAGTGGGGGGGGGGGGGGGGGGGGCTTGAGGTTACAATGGAGGGTCGCCCCAAAATTTCATCCGAGCTGAAAGGCCGTGAGACAGGGTTCCTTCACCGGATATCCGCCCAATACCCGCCCTAGTCTAGTGCCCCACATACCACTCGGCCGGGCCACTATACATGTACTACATTGATCCGTGTTCCACTCGCGCTCGCGGGATAAATACCACTATTCAATTTCCAAGGGACCGTAATAAACAGCCACTCGCGAAAAAAAATCGCAGAAAATCGCCGAAAAACTTTACTTAGGCCTATATTCTTCCAGGTAGTCATGGTAACTCATATTGAGGTGTTTTTATACGGATGCAAATTTTGTGCGAACTTTTTATGGGGCGGGGCGTGATTGACTTTTGAAATCGGTGTTGAAATATCGCAATCGGTTATGGATTTTCGCGATTGGTGATGAACTTTGCAATCGTTGATGAACTTTCACGATGCAGAAACGTCAAAACTGGTCACCGATTAAGCTGACCTAAAAGGCGCACGTGGGGAAAATCGTTCTAAAGGTAATTCCCCAGTCTTTTTATTTAGGAATCCTCACAAGTTGTTATTTTACGAGTAGTTGAACACTTATAATATTCCGAATATAAGCTTAATATGTTGCAGACGCTTGTGTTACATCTCCTATCACCGAGGTCAAGCTCGGATTTTACCGAGCCAAAAAAGTATGGCCAGTGGTCGGTTTTGCCGCAACGTTGACGTATATATGACATGCGCGTTATTAGCATATTAGGGAGGTTTAGATGCACGTTACGTGCACGCATACGTGAACGCGAACGCGAAAAGTGTGTGTATTTTTGCTGACGTCATCACTTCCTGCGTATTGTTAATGTTACTCACGTACGAGGGATTCGCACGGACGTCCAAAACGTGTAAAATGGTATTAAGTTCACGTCGGGTCAAAGCGTGAGTATTTGCAACATTTTTGAAACGTTTTTGGACAGTGCAATGGAAATATTTCTCTCTAGAATGAAAGTTCGCTGATTAAAGACCACTAATGACGTACTAATTGGTCAAACTTCAGTCCACTTCGATGCATTTCTGATATGCAAAAAGACCCTTGCTTGTGAAGTTTTCGTGTTGGAAAGCACCATGCACGTGCATACTATACGTTGTATGTAGCATGTACTGATGTAGCATGATGTAGCATGTAGGCCTACATGTAGGCCTAGGCCTCTGCCCTAGGCTATGCAGCTCAGACCTAACCATGTCGTGCTAACGTGTTTACATGTCAGGCCTAGTTTAGTCTAGGGCCAGGTGTGCATGTGAGGATAAGATGGAGTTTTCAGATTGGAGGCCTATCGTGTCATTTAAATAAATGATTTTTATTTGTTTTGGCAGGCAACAGTAAAGGAAAGTGGCACCGGTGCACTCCGATTCACACCTGCATTTGACATACTTCTCTTTAAGGAAGTTGTTGCACAAAATCCCTTCAACTGTGGTATGTAATAAGTGGCAAATACTCTACTAAGTTAAATTGATGGTAGCCGTAACACATTTCCAATTTACAGAGTATCCAATAAGAATACATGTACATATATGTGTTTTTTTGGTGTTCATTTCAGATGACCCAAATGAAGCGTGGGAGAAAGTGGCACAGGAATGCACGAAAGCATTCAACAAGAGAGTGATGCCACGTTCGGCTAGAGAACGCTGTCTGCGACAACTGTCGTTCTTTATTAAAGAGGACAAAATAAACTTGAAGAGGTAAAGATTGATAATAACCACACTGTTAAAAGGGGTGATTCGATTGCGTTTGCATATTTGGGTGATGGAATGCATACCAGAATGAAATATTCTAATCTTTAATTGATTTCAATTTCAAATCAGAGCTAATGACCTTTTAGATATGTTAGATAATTCTATTGGCCGTATGCAATTTTGAAAGAATTTTGTAGTTGAAATACTTTAATGCTTTGGTTCGCTGAATAACTGAAAGGATACCCACACACACACAAAAATAAATGGTGATAATGGTAAATACATTTAAGATTTCAAATTCAATAAAAAGTAACTTACCCAGGCAGTAGTTATACAATTAACTAATTTCAGATCAGGCACTGATGAACAATATGGAGAGAAGAAAAAACTTCTGCAAGAGATCGAAGTCTGAAAGACACTGGAGAGGATCAAAAGAAGGACAAGATGAAGAAGGTGGAAAAGAGAAAGCTGCTGACCACGCCAGGAGGCACTGACATCAGGCTTGCTGCCATGAGGGGGCTCAATGGTAAGATCTTTGTGAAGTGAAATCAGTGGTGCACCCGAGGCAGTCAGTGGCTCAGGGGGTTTGAGTTCCCTCCAAGAGGTTATCAGTTTTTGCTATTTTTGAGTTCCTCCAAGAGGTTATCAGTTTTTGCTATTTTTGAGTTCCCTCCAAGAGGTTATCAGTTTTTGCTATTTTTGAGTTCCCTTCAAAAAGAGGTTGTCAGTTTTTGATATTTTTAAGTTCCCTCCAAGAGTTTGTCAGTTTTGTTATATTTGAGTTCCCTCCAAGAGTTGGCAGTTTTTTGTCATTTTTGAGTTCCCTCCAAAAGAGGGTGTCAGTTGTGTTGTTTGAGCCACCAAATGCAAGGTCATCAATAGCTGACCACCCCACCACTACCAAACCCTAATGCTGCATGTAAGAGGTTTTTGGGAGATCATTTTGTGTGTATATTCAAATAATTTTTTTTAAATAAGGAGTTCAGACCAAGATTAAGGTTCCAATTATAATATTCTATATTTCTTCTTCGCAAGACAATTTCTATTCTGTCAAGTTTTGTGGCAATACTTTAATCTTTGAATTCTATTTTCTTTATTTGAAACAGGCACTGGCGATCAAGAAGGGACGACCAGCGAGGGAATTAAGAGTAAGTTTTTGTACACTTGAAGGCCTCAGGTTGATAACATGTTCCTTAACTCAGGTTCGTTGCCGAAGAATACCTGATAGCCTTTTAACAAAATGTCAAACACTATTATTAGCTCCTGACCACTGACCAATACATTCGTATCGTTACTAAGATAATTATAGCAGGGTTAAATGTCACAGATGTGTAAAATAATACCTAATAAATACGAATACAAATCTCAATGAAGGCACATTTCACTTCATATGCATCTTTGACATAAAGCATGGAAAAAAATAATGATAGTGGTTTATGTAGGCCACACTTGGTCTCAAATTATTGTCAATTAACCTCAATCACAACCCACCATATGAACATCAACTTTATTAGGAAAATATTTAGTGGCCGCTTAATATATTTCATGAAGGTGCATGGACTAGTATGAACTAGCATCACAAGGGATCTTAAGACTGTGTTCTCAGTTTTGCAGAGGGCAATATTGTCCGGTGGCAAAAAGAGCAAACATGGAAGATAATAATACATGGTATTTTTAAACAGCACAGTGTCTTGAAGTGAAACAATATCCCATCAAATCAAGAAGAAATACATTGTTGCGTGTTTTCATATTACATTTCAGAACAAAGGATCTCAAGTAGTAGTAAACAGCTTGCAATTATAGAGATTCTTGAGAAGAAACAGCAGGCGGAAGAAAGATTGAAGGAAAAGCATCTTCAACTGGAAGAGAGGAGGCTGGCTCTAGAGGAGAGGAAAGTGGCGCTAGAGGAACAAAAAAATGCAGCCAATGAGGCAAGGTAGAACAGGGCAAGCAGAATACTAACTGGTGGCATGGTTAACACATTTTACAATTGTAAACATCACTTTTCGTCTTTTTAAGCCTATGTGCTGTTAAATTGTGTTTCTAAAAAAATGAATAAGTTAGTGTGTGTATTTATCGATTGTGAACTATTTTAAATGAGACAGCCTCCTTTCGTCCAGTTCCAGTTTATTACCCTTAGGCCTCCGCCTGTTGTTTCCTCTCAAGAATTGATCACTTTGCCCGATATTTCCTGTACAATCAAAAGCTGTTACAGTTGTTTTGACGCGTAGTGTGCTGGGGCCGTATTCACGAAACTTATCTTAGTGGGGTACTTAAGTTTGCACTTAAGTCTTAAGCACCCCGCTAACTTAAGTTGGGTGCTTAACTACCTATTCACAAAACATCTAAGTACCCCGCTTAGCTTAGCACCCCGCTTAAGTTTAAGGAAATAACTAACTGAAAGTATTCCGTTTGCTCATGCGCACAGCACATACGTCAACAACTGTTGCCAAGACAACAACGCAATCAATCGATTACCCACTTGTCAGAGGCGTTGATTGATTGTAGGTGAGTACATAAAATAATAAACAAGAAATACAAAGATTTACTGGAAACTCTTGCAATCAACAGGTGATCAAATGACAGAAGCGTGCGCGCCCGCGTCTCCTGACACGCGCGCGTTCAACACACACTTTCACGTTGTGTTTGTTGTATGCATTAATCGATTACAAAGTAACAACAATGGCGAAAGTACGAAAGCCCAATTTTTCCGAGAAAGAGAAATTACTTCTCCTGAGTGAGTGGGAGAAACGTCAGAATATTCTGAGACCCAAGTTCTCGTCTAAAATAACCTCCCAGGGAAAGCATAATGCCTGGCAGGAAATTGCGGACTCCCTGAATGCCCAGTTTCCCTCCGTACGTCGAGATGTAGCTGACTTACAGAAGAAGTGGCAAAATATGAACAGTAAGATGAAGGAGGAGACATCAAGGCATCGTAAGGATTCGTTGAAGACAGGTATGAGATGCATCTTTATTTACAGAAAGCATCGTTTCAAAGTGGGACATGTTGAAAAATACAATATATTACAAACATTAAATCAGCTAATTATATATTTAACCATATAAACTCATTTATTTGATTTTAAGGGGTTGCTTTAATAGTCCAACACATGTACCACTAAACATAAAGTTGATATCAAATAAACATCGCACACAGTTTTATATCTTTATAAGAAAATTAAGTTTGGGTATGTGATCCCTCACACCTTATGCCTACCCTGTCCAGCAAATCTGGCCAGGTTTTTCTAAACTGTACAATAAATTGAAATGCTAATCGGTAACAGGTCTTGGAATTGTGTTTGTTCTCATGTATCTTCGTTCTGTCAAAGTTTCCGCAAAACTAGTCTGCAATGGAAAAAAAAGAATGTAATTGCATGACGTGAACTCTGAAATTATATTGCTTTCATTTCAAGGAGGAGGACCAGCACCACCTGATCTTTCTCCTCTAGACCAGAGACTGGTCACACTGGTAGGAGAGAATACTCCTTCAATAATAGGAATCAACGGTGGCTTTGATAGCCTGGGTCTACTGTCACTACCAGAGGAGCAGCCGGCAGTGGTCATATTTTTCGGGAAAAAAACACATGCGTTCGGGAGATTTTATTGACAGCGCCGCCAATCAAAAACTGGCACACCCCCAATCTTCTGCTTATCAAAATATTTTACCGAGCCAAAATAATTCAGGATGTATTTCCTTTTTACACAATATTATAATTCGGTCTGGATAATAATGCTAAATACTAAATAAAAAAAAACAGTTGAGTGCAAATATACCTTCAACACAACAAAGCTAGCTGCAAACGATGCGAGAAGTGGGTTGGGAACGCTATACTTTTCACGAAAATGTCGACTTAGGGAAGTCCGCACTCGTTCCTACGTTAACTACAAAAAGTGCAAAGTGGGTACACTCTAGAATAAGTCTTCTCGCATCTAGGTCTTCCTTCGCTTCTGAAGAATCGAGGTGGGGCAGGGGGTTAAAAACCCTGCCGAACACGCGCTCGGACAGGTCTGGTGGATCTTTCTCATTGGTCAAAAAGCTAAAACAATGAGACCATTTCAGAGGAAGCCAATCAAAAAGGGAGTAGTGGACTAACTTTCTTAGGAGAAGCGTGGACAGCCAGGAATTGACCAATCTTGTCCAATTCTTGGGCCACGTTGAACGGCATGATCGGGCTCTCCTGACTCGAAACAAAGGAAAAAGCGAATCTTGCATTTTTTGGGGGTGACGCAACACTTGCCCTTGGGAAGCTCGGGGAAGGCAAGCATGGCTAAGACAATTGCAACCGTAAGCATTATGGGTAGGGAAAAATTGTCGGCCAAAGATGTTAAAATGGTTCCCAATTTTAATAGGGTTCGACATTACAGTGACCAATAAAAGCGCCAATATAAAAATGACAAAACAGTGAATTTGTCTTTTCAATACAATGGCAATCGGCACTTGAAACGAATGTAACTAAATAAGACCGACAAACCAGAATATTACAAATTTGGATTATAATGCTCCTGAAATTAGACCCCTTCGTGGCTTTTTTGTAATCGAAATCGGTAATCGAGTTCGACTATATGCTCGGGGACGAAAATTTGCATGGAGTGATAAGTGTGTTAAAATAACTGGGAAAAGCTGTAATAATTATTATGAACAAATTCTTCTTTGATATAGCACTCATGTTGGTGGAGTGCCGGAGCCCATCATCAGTCAGCAGCCTCGCCCGATTCAGTCAACGACGGTGCCTAGAAAGAGGAGAGCAGACATGAATGATGATGAGTATGGGAAGCTGCTGGTACTGGAGCAGAAGAGGAGTGAAGCCGAAACAAGAAGAGCACAGGTCGAAATTGAAAAGCTAGAGTTGGAGAAGGAAATGCTGTGTCTGCAAATAGCAATATTGCAGCAGCAGAACTTCCAGAATCAGTGATGGAATGTCTTGAGATGCAAAATGTCAAACCCTCAACGTTTGGCCGATTTATCGAATTTGTTTTGAAGATTGTTTGTGCAACATATGTTTTTTGTGTTCCTAAAATTATTACTGTATGTCCATATTCTTGTTCAGTCGTTTCTTTTAATAAAAGTTAATACACTGTACTCAGTATTTTTTGTAAGATTTGTGGAAAGTTCGTCTGCGTTATTGATTATTTATTAATGATTTTCAAAATAAAATTAACAAGAAAGAAATATTATCTACACTATCCCATGTTTACAACGCTACAGACTGTATTAGCGTTTACTTTTATCATCAATTTTACGCCAAGAAAATTGTTTTGTATACTAAAACGCGATTGCTCATTATTTTGGCCTTCAATTACTATGATCATGCCAAAATAATGAGCAATCACGGTTTGATCATTATTATTATTAATTGACAAGTTTAACCTACATTTAAAAAAACTTTGTCCTATGTAAATATTTTTTTTTTAAAGATGGCTTTTTAACTTGTACTTGCACTGATTAAATTTATTTCTGCTTTAAAGTTGTTTCATTCATTGTTTCATATCATTTTTTAAAGGTGATTGAAGGTGATTGCAAAAAACAAAATGTCACAAAATCAGCACGTTAATTTCGTTTTGCTAAGGGGCTGCAAGGGGAGGTGATTATTGTGTTCTCTGACAGTTCGTACAAGGTGGTCACCGATTGGGTATCTATTTGGTCGGAAGTTCCCAACAAAAAAAAACGATGTTTATTTTTGTGTAAGACTTTATTAATTTTTTTCAGTGCACCGCGGTTCAGGTGGTAAATTGTTGTATCAATATTATGCTAATAATTGTTTCATGAACTTGGCCTACTTGTTAGGATCTAGTATACAATATACACTAGTCATGTGAAAAGTAACAAGTTTGAGAGCGTAGTAGTAGTAAGTTTTATAGCTGCGGCATATACGACTCTGTACGTGAACATCATGCTTCGGCATACGACTCGACTCGACTCTGACATACATCATCACTCAAACTTTTAATACTCCAACTCACTGGAAATATGTGTGGACTACATGATTTCGGACAAGGTCGCCGTTGTCATGCAGCTGTGCTGGTTGGTCTGGCTGTGGATGTGGAGGGTCATCCATCGGATCGTCCTCATCAATGTCCGGGAAGCCTTGTTGCTTTGCGATGTTGTGGAGTACTGCACACGCTGCAATTACCCTGCACGTACGTTCTGGTGACAGCCTTATTTCACCGTGCAGGCAGTGGAACCGTCGCTTCCATTGACCGATGGTTCGTTCAACGAGACTTCGAGTTGTTCTGCGCGAAAGCAAAGGGAATTGTTATTGTTTGAAAACGTAAAAACTGATCATCACAACTGCGTGGACAGAAAAAAAGCCCAGTTCATAATTATAGTAGCACTTCGAATTAAACAACTTTGGGAATAAGAAGAAAGAATATAATGACTAACCTGTGAGCTCCGTTGTAACGTGCTTCAGGGCGATTGCCTGGTTGAAGGAACGGTGTGAGCAGCCATGGTTTTGAGGGATAACCCGTGTTGCCTAACAGGTAAACTTCTTCATTTTCGCCCTGCCCTCGTTCAAAAACATTGGCTATTGAGCTCTCTCTGAGCACCCTGGAGTCGTGAGTACTCCCTGGCCTTTTGGCATTTAGTTGAGTGAAATTACATTTGTTGTCCACAACAACTTGAACGTTTATTGAGTGGTAGTTTTTCCTATTTACGAATTGTTCTTCATGGGCGTTTGGTGCTGTGATGCGGATGTGAGTCCCGTCAATAATACCAACTATGCCAGGAAAACCTGCGATGGTGAAAAAACCCCTCTGAATATCCGGAATATCTGCAGCTGCAGGCCACTTTATGAAATCCCCCAACCTCCTGGAAAGGCTCGAGGACACAAGATTAATTATTCGAGACACTGAAGGTTGAGAAATTCTTATTGTATCCCCTACTGTCCGTTGAAATGTTCCGCAGGCGTAAAATTGCAGCGCTATCAATACCTTTATTTCGGGAGGAATGGCGCAGCTTCTCTCGGTTGGCGATTCAATTTCTTCCCTTATGAGGTCGGTTATAAACAAAACACCGTTTCTATCAAACCTATAACGCGAGTAAAGTTCCTCGTCGGTGAACTCTGCCAAGGGGTTACACCTTTCACGAAATACTCGCTCTCTCCGAAGAATTCTTTCGTGAAAATTTCGGTTGTGCACGGCACGTAAAAAAGCCGCCATGACACCTAAGCGGGGCGCTTAAGTACGCTAAGACTGGTCCGAGCACACTTAGACTTAAGTCATGAAAATAAGTGGGGCACTTAGTGAAATTGCTTTGTGAATACGGCTTAAATATTAAGACACGACTAAGTTGCATATTTAAGTGGGGTGCTTGATTTTTTATGACTTAAGTTGTTTTGTGAATACGGCCCCAGGCACTTTACACGCGAAAGAATGATATAGTACACTTCGTGAAAACGCATTTTCCGGTTTTGACCCATTAAGTTGCAAATGTTAATTAATGTTAATTCATAAATACCTCAGACAGTTTAGCTATTCCTATTGGTCGAGAGCCCGTCACGTATGCCTACGTGAAGATTGTGTACGTTCAACCAATAAAACGGTAAGAGGCACTGGATTTTTAGGAGTTCACATTTTATTGTGACACTGGAAAAGTGTTTAAGACCAGCTAGCCATGTCTTTATCATCCGTTTAAGACTGGCCACGTGACGGGCTCTCGAACAATAGGAATAGCTAAACTGTCTGAGGTATTTATGAATTAACATTAATTAACATTTGCAACTTAATGGGTCAAAACCGGAAAATGCGTTTTCACGAAGTGTACTATATCATTCTTTCGCGTGTAAAGTGCCTGCACAATACGCGTCAAAAACGTTTGAGGCAGAGCGTTCAGCCGCCTTTACAAAGAACACCATAAAAAAGGGCAAACATATACTCGAATCATACGTAATACGAAACTACTGACCAGAAAAACTAACAATTTCAAATGTGCCGCGCTGCGAATTTGTCCACCATCTCCCGCAATGCATTGAGAAAAATTAAATCTCCGTGGCAAACTCTTGGTGGCGCACAGCATTGTCAATCGCCCGAATTGACGTTCGTTCGTACCATTGATCTCCATATACACTGTGTATATGGAGATGAATGGTTCGTACCCAGTCTCGAGTCCATGGGCGCGTGCGCGTTCCTTACATTAACCCCTGGCCTTGATGATGACGTTAATGACGCTGATTGGCTATTCACAGCGTACTGCGCGGACATTTCGAAGATTGCACGCCGGGTGCGCCAATAATGCTCTCGCGTGCTTTGCACGTAACGTCACTTATGAAAAAAAAAATAGTTATTCAAAAGTCGCGATGCCTGTACGATATGGATTATGGCAGCCTCGTTTTTCGCTAAAATAAAACCTGTATCTGCGGTTGTAAAGGCACGAAAGGGGTACGTACATTTAATACAAATCTTTGCTCAATAACGCTACGTCCAAACGTTATAGATGAAAGGATTGATACTTCAAAATCACACTTTTAAATCATAACATTTTAAAGATGTCGTCTGCACGTAAAATGGATAAACTGCAGCATAATTATAATGTGCCATATTTTGACAGATTTAAGGGGTTAAGATCGCGCAAGGCATGATGGGAAACAACATGGCGAAGCAAGATCGTATCCATGGGGAACGAGATTGGCTCGTACCCCCGCCCTGCAAACAGGACGCTGGGATACTCTGTTGAATTCACGCTCTGATTGGTTGGATTTTGCGTGACCTGTGACCTGCGCGTCATCACGGTCATTTCTGTGCAAGGTTTGAAACGGCCTTTAAAAATGATTCATTACTCTTTTATTCCAGTTTAGAGATGAATTTTTTTCGTTGAAAAGCGTAGGAAATGTAGGAAATTCTGTAAAACTTATCTGTGTTGTAAATTTACAATTCACGTCACTTGCCCAGGCTCCGTTTCGCATCACGAACGGTCGGATTGCATTATGCGACGCTTAAAATTTTGTCCACATGGTCCGCAATGAAACAGAAAATCACATCGGTATGGAACGTATGCATTTCTGTGGGAAGTTTTTGGATAGCATTGGCGCAGATTGTTTTTTACTGCGGTCTTGAACAGCTGCAGCCAGATACTTTATGTGAACCTCAGCAGTGTAACGCAGCGTCCTGTTGGGGGGGGGGGGGGGTACGAGCGAAGAATTGACAGAGATCAACGCCTGTCGCCGTTTGCAAGTTAGCCACGCCCCTTAGACAACCCTGTAATTGTGTACGTAAACTCTTGTTTGTCTCAGATTCTGCGTGCTCCGCGTCCATTTGTATACCGTTGTAATTGGACAGAATTTCCCAAGATGCGTTGATGCGATTCTACTGCGATAGGTCAATTAGCACAAAGGCAACATTTTAAGAATTGTTCACTGTAATTTCACGCGCTCATTGCAGTTACAACCCAAAGATAATTTAATAATGTCAGTACACAACCTAATCGACCTAATCGACCATATAAATACAGCTTAAGTCTGACGCATCCCATCGTCGGACACAATGGGTTGGACATCATTGTTGTCGGACATAATGGGTCGGGCACATTGAGCTATATTACATTACTGGGCGCAGACATTTTGAATTCATGTGCGTGTTTGTGAAACAAATTGAAATGAGATGGATTGAATTTTGAAAGTGTACTCTACATGCAACGCGCAAGTAGAACATACGCAAACAACTCCATCGCGTCATGAGGGTTCAAAAAAACGTCACGGCAAAAAGCATCTGCAGCGAATACGCGCACTCGTTGCGCTGTTTGCGTAGAGCAAAATGACACGCTCATTTGCTGATCGTGCGTTTCGGTTTTGGGCGTATTGGCTTCGATAACGCACCGGCATGGAATACAAACGCAGATATGCAAATAGCCGTACAAAAGCCGTACAAAATGTCTAGGTCTCCATAGGTTTGTGCACAAACATGGATGCGCCCAGCAGGCATTACTTTGTACACGAAGTTAGCGCTCTAGTAATTTAATATAGCTCTATGGTCGGACATAATCGGCCGTCGGACACAATGGGCAGGACATAATCGGCAGTCGGACACAATGGGTCGGAAATGATCGCCGTCGAACATTTTGCAGTTACAACCCAAAGACAATTAATAATGTCAGTACACAATTACCTAATGAATCCGGCGTAATGGACCGTATAAATACAATTTAGGTCTGACGTATCCATTCGTCCTACGTATCCATTCGTCCTGTTGTCGGACGTAATCGACCAAACGGACATAATGGTCCTGAACAAACGTGTCGTGAGACGGTAAATTGAATTCAAGATGTATCGACGACATTGATTTAAGAAAAGAATATGAATTCATGCACGATCCTATATTTTATCAAAATCTATCTTAGTCGCCCTAGGTGTTTACTTACCAGTATAAAGAAGGCAAATAGAACAGCTAAAGCACCCAGCAACCACAAGTTTGCCTCGAACTTTCGCCATGATGACTTCGTTTATAAAACTATTTGGGGAAAATGGATTAAAAAAAAAAAACATCCCATGCTCAGCTATATTATGGACACTTGACACCTTGTGCAGACTTTTTTTACGGACGGATTTTCAGTATATGTTTTAACCACAGTCGAACTGTACAGATTTTGCCCTGCATCATTTTTGTTGCCCTCTAACCCGACCTTGCTCGTGGAATAAGTAAATAAACAAATAGTCTCTATACTGATTATTGTATTGTTGTATTGCCCTACGGGCCTACAATCATCTTCGTACCTGACTCACTGACTTACTTACTCGCTGTCAGTGAGTGTGTGACTTTGAAATTAAATTGCTTATAAGTCTCACCTTAGCCAAAACATTTGACTAAGATGACTACAACTACCGCTTATAGACCATATCGGTCTCGGACCAGCTTTACTATATATAGGCTTGCCTAGACTAGTTAACACTTACGATTCTTCTCAGGCATGACATTTCAAAGACATTCAGGCTATTTTCATCTTTTCATTTCATTTCATTTCATAAAAGGTTTATTAAAAATTGTCATCACAGCAAAAAACTGAATTGCAACAATTACTACAATATTTAAAAAACAAACATGAAGAGATAACATTCAATTTATATTAAAACATTTAAGAAAAGTAAAAGACTAAAATGCACCAAAGCGCAGACGAACCAGCGCAGTCTCGACACCCGCGTAAACTCACTACACTCCATCCCGACCCAATCATCCCATGAATGGAATCAATTCCATGGACAATTAAGCCGGGACGGAGCACAACAGTCCGCACAAGTGTCAAGATCACTTAATACACCGGAATAGTTAAAACTGATAAACTGCATCCCAAAGGAACAATTTCAAAATAAACTAGCCAAAACAACTTCAATCAGACGAGAGAGACACCACTTTAGTAAAAAAGTTAGTCAAAAAGACGTCTCCCACGACCAACCAACGCTGCCTCTATACCAGCCCACTCTGAGAGTGAAAATAAAAATTACTATTGCACATTATTTGAAATGATATTGATACTGGTACATGTAGTTGAAAGCATGAAAATAAGCGAGTATCAATTAATCAAGGATGCAAAAGTTTCTGGCTGTAGCAAGTCAGGATACAAAATCAAAAAAACTATGAGCCATCCTTGTTCCACAGATTGGCCATGTATAGGAGAGGGTTTTTCTGACAGCGGGTCGTTCTACACCTTGGGATGGCTAATTTTTGTGAGTTCCTTAATACTTTACTATGAATGGTACCCTTCTTTGGTGGGACCCAACTTCTGAAACGCTCTGAATTGATAAGTGAGCTAAAGAAGTTCAAACAAAGCTGTTCCCGTCTATCAAACAAAGTGGGCAACTTACACACTTCAAGTTCCTCATCGTAAGACTTGAACTGATTGCCCAAGATGATCTTACACGCCCTCCTCTGGACTCGCTCCAATGCAGTGCTCTCAATGACAGTGAGCTCAGGATGCCATACAGGGGCTGCATACTCTGCTAAAGGACGTACGAAACCAGAGAAGACAGTGATAAGATCATCCATAGGCAAGTTGAAACGCTTGAGAAGTTTCAGGAGATACAATCTACCGTTGGCTTTTTAAAGCATTTCTGTGATCTGGGTACCCCATTTTAAGTCAGCCCTGATGTGAACACCTAGAATTTTGGCATCTGCCACAGACTGAAGAGTTTCATTAGCAATCTTTAGTGATTGCTCGTCTAGGTTCTTTTTCA